TATATATATATATAGTTGGAGCCCGGATCAACTGCTAGCATAGTGCTAAATATGTACAGTAATTAGGCCACCACTGAAGATTTGCCGAATCCATTTGAAATAAGTGACAGCTTTTTTTTTTTTTTTGACATTTCAGAATAGGGGCCCAATCCATATGCTAAAATTTAGAAAGTTTGGGACATATGCAGCAATTTCAGAATATACTTCTATCTAACTATAAAATTAATTAGATGTCATAGCTTAGACATGTCGTGAGAAAAGAAACTTCAGGTCCTTAGATCTTTTTGTTGTACTTGATTAATTAGGACGTTATCTTGATTAACTCAGTTATGAATAGTCAGGCCCTTTTGATGAAGTTGGTTAGAGCTATGTGGGGACAGAAATAGCATGAAAGAATACCGGTTGTCTTTGTTAACCATAAGGGCTTTTAAATTCTATATAAAATCTATAAAATAGAAGCAACAGGATTGTATTTTATAAAAGCAAGTGATTTTTAAGATCAGTATTCTCTAATCAAGAAACAGACCTTCCTTTTTCTTGAGGTAAAGTTCAGTTTTGTTACCTCTTTGGAGGTTCGTTTGATTCACTTTACAGGTGATGCTTTCATTCCAAATCCTGTGAGATTTGGAAGAGGTTTTTTTTTTTTTATCTTATTTGTTAAAGTTGTAGTGAATTAATAGCTTGTTTTTGGAAGCAAAATACATTTTTTACAGCCTTAGTTTTTAAGAGGGCACATAGAATAAATGAAAGCTTTTCTTGAGAACTATGGGCATGTGGGTATTATTATTTATCATCTTTATACACTTATGTTGCACTTTTCATTCTAAAAGCAATGGACACCTCTTTAGAAACTTTGTTTATGCATCTTTGAATCTTACAGGGCCTAATATGAATTCAAAGTGATAAAAGCACATTTAAAGTTCTTTAAAAAAAGTGTGTACTAGCACATTCCTAAATTTTTTTGTTGTAATTGTGTTTATTCCTATATTGATTTTATACACACACACACGGGATATTTGTATTTCTAGAAGTGTCAGGGTAATTTTTTACAGTGTTTGTATTTTAACCTACTCTAGCTGTAAATGAAAAAGTATATTATAGTTGTAGAAATTTTAAAATGGCACTTGCTTTTCTGCCTCTCTACTTGTAATTGGTCAGACTACCCTTATAAATGTTTTTTAAGAAAGGGAATAAAATTGCCATTTGGTATTGTTGTGTATGTGTGTGTGTAAGTTCCACTGGTGGGTGGATTCATTCAGTCAGGTGTCTGAGGCTATATCATCATATTTCACATCTCTGAACAGTATTTTGGGTCCCTGGCCAGTGATACTGACCCAATCCCCTTCTGTTTCCTTCCTGGTGTTCAACAATGTTAGTAAAATTATTTTGCTTCATCTTTCTGCTAATGACATCTTTGTAAGCCTTATTGCCAATTTTCATATTTATAACCAAAACTAATGAGTTGTTAATGACTTGTCAAAAACTTAGAACAGATTTGTTACTGTTTTTGACAGTTGAAGTGAAGCCTTCTAAGTGAACCAGATTAATCACAAATTACTAAATGTTTTTCTTTTCTTGAAATTGTGTTTGAATATGCTGTGAAGCCAAGGTGAGGCTAGTAAGTTGCCCATTTGATTCATACACGGTTAAGGGAAATTACATGAAGGTGTATGATTCTGTCTCCGTTTTTCACTTGGGTCTGTACACCCTGAAGTATTTTGACTATCTTTTTTTTTTTTTTTTTTTTTTGAGAGAGAATGAGATAGAGCATGAGAGGGAAGAGGGTTAGAGGGAGAAGCAGACTCCCCACCGAGCAGGGAGCCCGATGCGGGACTTGATCCCGGGACTCCAGGATCATGACCTGAGCTGAAGGCAGTCGCTTAACCAACTGAGCCACCCAGGCACCCCTGACTATCCATTTTTTGAAAGAGATTCCCAAAAGAGTCCATACCTCCCCAAAATTTAAGAATAGTTGTTCTATTTGGGGGGAAAAATGCATAACTACAGAAGAGTTCCACAGATTAATTTCAGTAGGTATGTATTTAATCATTTGCTGTATACCATTTTACTGATGAAAGTAATTGTAACATTATTGGTGAATTTGCTTTCTGAAGCATTCATATGTGGAAATAGTTTTTGGTTACAAATTTTAATGAGTGTGGCATTTTGATGTATCTCATTCAGTGCAGACCATTTAAGACGGTTGAATTAAAAGTGCATTCTAGGGTCGCATGCGCATGGGTGGCTCAGTCGGTTGGGCTTCTACCTTCGGCTCAGGTCATGATCCCAGGGTCCTGGGATTGAGTCCCGCATCGGACTCCCTCCTCCGCGGGAGGCCTGCTTCTCCCTCTCCCACTCCCCCTGCTTGTGTCCCCTCTCTCGCTGTGTCTCTCTCTGTCAAATAAATAAATCTTAAAAAAAAAAAAAAGGCAATTTCTATTCTTTCAAATAGAAAGCCAATGTAGACATTAAGAAACTAATAAAGTTAATTATTAAAAAAAGTGCATTCTAACATTTTAGAATACTTCCAGTTTTGTTGTTAAATTTTTTTTTTAAGATTTTATTTATTTATTTGACAGAGAGAGACATAGCGAGAGCAGGCACACAAGCAGGGGGAGTGGGAGAGGGAGAAGCAGGCTTCCCACTGAGCAAGGAGCCCAATGTGGGACTCGATCCCAGGACCCTGGGATCATGACCTGAGCCAAAGGCAGACGCTTAACGACTGAGCCACCCAGGCGCCCTTGTTGTTAAATTCTAACTATGTATTTATCACCAGATGGTTTATGAACATTCCTGTTAGAGGCTAAGAGCTAAAGGGTAACATAGATGAGGTATTTATTTGTATTGTCAAAAAACTTTTAAATGATTTTTTTAAGTTTGCTTATTTTTTTACATGATCTTTATTGTTTTGTTAGTACAGTTTGTGGGACTGCATCTCCAACAAAGTGAAAAATGTCCAGTTTTTTCACAAATAAATTGGTAAAATGACTTTAAAGATCTGATAGAAAGCACAGCATGTGTGAATTGCTTTGTTGGAAGTACCTGAAACAAGTAAAATTGGTATTTGCAAAATGAAATATACCCGGAGAAGCAGAGCACCAGATTTTTATTCCTTGTATCTCTGAGTTTAAGTACATAAATAGGAGTCAGCAACCATTTCAAGTCTGGACCCAAGCTCTGATCCTTTGCATCCTTCACCTACAAAGATGGCTGAGGCAGTTAAAAGGATAACTCCTAGTCCCCAGAGAGCTGTTAAACAGATAGTTAGCCCCTAGTTGTTAGCATATAAACCATGAGGAGGGCCACAGTGCCTTCAAAAAGCCAGTGTTCTTTGAACTCACTAGCCCATTCCTAGAAACATCAGGATGTATATTACTATCTTTGGTAAACTTGTGTGAGACAGTACCATGAATGACTTACCTCCTTAGCTCCATTGTATGGTTCAACATTTGCTTTAGTTAATATGCTTGGGGATAAATTAGTAAGCAGGTTTTTTTTTTTAAGATTTTATTTATTTGACAGAGAGAGAGAGACAGT